TTCGAAGTGCAATAAAAATTTTTGCACCGTACAGAAAATTTTTATGGCATCGGAGCTGTTTGAACAAAATCCAAAGATATTCAGAGATTTGCGCAAAATGTACATGACGTGCCTATCGCGGCTGACCGCGACAGCCTCTCGAGGAGATTGTCGCATTCCTCAGATCCCAGGCCGAAGGCTACACGCAAATCCGTCTTCGTTTCCGCTAGATGTTCTCCATACGTGCCAACAACCACCGGTACAAACACTACTTCCTGTCCATACTGATTTCGCAGATCTGAAATAAGGTTTATGCTCGGCGGGTAAACTGTCCGAGTCTGGTCCCTCAGTGATGGTGGAGTTAACCGTGTACCGCTTAATTTTTAACCGGCGCTGAGCCTCTAGCCCCGTGGCATGGGCCACGCTCATCTCCAGCACGAAGATCTTGCGCGCGTGGTGGTCGAAGACGACCATATCTGGTCGTCGGTGTTCCATAGGTGATTGCGTGAGCAACACCATGTCCCATAGGAGTTTAGCGAATGGGTTCTCGCGCATTGGGGGTATCTGATTGATGTAGTGGATGGGGGGAAAGCCGTACCGCCGGCAGAGCAGGAAGCACAGGTTCCGCTCAACGCTGTTATGCCTGTCGACGTATAGGCTAGACAGCCAGCGCGGACATCTGCTAGCTATGTGATCAGCTGCTTCGGGCTCTGACCTGCACATACGGCATAGGCGATAGGTCCCGTCTGCGTCGCGGCTGCTAAGTGCCCACTCCTGGTCTCCTGAAGCGTTGCGGAAGTTGACCGCACTTACCCTTCCTTTCTTTATCCAGAGGCTGCTGCGCCTAACGTCAATGCTTCCACTGCCGCGTGCGAATGCGCCTGCGTGCGGTTGGGCTTCCCATTCAGTTCTACGCTTGCTGGCGGCCTTATCGCGTAGGATACCCCTCAGATACCGGAGAGGTCGGTCCCGTTCACGTTCAACTTAAAGATTTCAGATCCAACCACTTAGTACGCCATCCGGCACGCGTGGTACTCACTTTTGGGCATGTGGGAGTTTCGGCGGGAAAATTACCAACTCGGGAACCAGAAAAGCTAGAAAGCTGAAGTTTTAGAGGAATGTTTTCTGTCCAAGCTCAAGATATGTGTAGTTCTAACGTACGGGCACTTAAAAGTTTTGGCGGGAAAATTGCTAATTGAGATGGGTCATTTTCAAAGGACGGCCGCTAAGCGGAAATTGTTCTTCCTTTATGCAAAACTTGCGATGATTTACGGTAGCGAGAGTACAAGGTGAGTGTTAAGCAACAACCAAGCATATAGTTAGCGACCTGATTACCTTAGGTATGGTGCAAAAACGCACGA